GGGATTTTTTTTTTTTTTTTTTTTGAGACAGAGTCTCACTCATTAATTCAGGCTGGCTTTGAACTTACTATATAGCTCAGGCTGGCTTCAAACTCTGGGTAGACCTCCTGCCTTGTTTTCCTGAGAGCTGTGGTTAGAGGTGGGCACCACCACACCCGGCATCTTTAGGGAATCTTTTTGGAACATACTTCTTTGGAATTTGTTAAGGGAGCACAATGCAATTAAGAATGTGGGCCCCAAAGCCATCTCATGATGTCGTTAAGGCATCCTCTTACCATATCCTAAATAAGTTTACAGTTTTCATTCCACCACTTAGTGACTGTGTGTCCTTAGCTAGGTCACTTAGGATCCCCAAATCCTCCATTTTTCTATCTCTGAAATGGGGCTTCTAACATAGATATTCCTGCGTTAGTGATTGTTCAGACTTACCAAGTGAGGCACAGTGTTTGGACTTTAAGCCTGCAGCTCAGACTTACAACCTATCTTTTTCTTTTATGTACATTTCTATACATCTTATTGAATAGAACTGCAGGGTCTTTTCTAATACAGTACACCTTATTTATACAGTACTATAATTTTTGCTGATTGTACTTTACTGTACAGTATTGTAGTTTTCTGTTAGACATTACAGTATTGCATGTAAGAGTTATGCAAATAAAAGCACAGACACCAAGTTGGAGTTTCCTTTGACCGTTTCTTTGTTTTGAATATTGTAGTGAACACGCTATATACAATTCCTTGTTCAGTAACCAATGCATTTAATGACCTAGTTGGAGGAATGGAACGTGCTTATTAAATGAGTGTCTGTACTGTAGTGCTTTATTGGTAATAGTAGATAACTAGGTGAAAACATGCTTGTGAGGACTAGTTGAAAATATGCCTGGAGAAGACTGGCTAGGCAAGACTAGTTCTGGGAGGATGTGAAGAGATGGGGTCTGTGAGGACATGGTGAGACAGGGCCACAAGAACATGGTGAGGTAGGCCTGGGGTAGTGTTGAGCTGTTGTGAGCCTTCAGACAGGTGACCTTAGTGCCCGCCTCCTGAGGGCCACCTTGGTTGTGCTAACATCTCTGTGCTAATTTTGCATCCTTGAGTTTAGATGCTGAACTTATTTTTGGTTTATGTCCTATGGGTTTTCGTTTTGTTTTGTTTTAAGTACTGGAGGTTGAACCCAGGAGCATTCTACCATAGAACTACATTAACACCCTTTAAAAAAAAAACAAAAAGCTTTTATTTTGAAGGTAGGGCAGGGGAATGGGAAAAAAATAAGAACCAATATATATAATTTAAGGGTACAAATTCCCAATGATGAATGTCATCATATTGTATACCTAAAATGTACCAATGAACTTAATGAATTAAAAAAAAACCTTTTTATTTTTGGTTAAGTTTTGAGACTGGGCCTTGTATAGTTTCACAGGTGGGACTTGAACTTAGATCCTCCTGCCTCAGCATCCATCCTGCCTGGATTGCAGGGGTCATAGCCTATAAGTACTGATTTAAAATTTCCCTTTCTGGCAGTGAGTAGATGGAGGATTGTGCCTTTGGGGAAAGGGTGGAGTAGAAACGAGGGTTCTTCTTTTTCAGGGCCAGGGAATTGAATCCGTGGACTCATGTATGCTAGATAAGTACTCTACCATTGAGCTATATCCCCAGCTTTGAGGAATCTTTTTGTATGGATGACACATAGATGTTCCAGACACATAGATGGTGAAGAGCTGTCCCAGGGTACCCTGGGGCCAGCTGCTGGGTGTGGGGCAAGGATCCTAGGGCCAGGAAGAAAAATAGCCCTCATGGAGGAATTGAAGTTAGTGTGTCATCATCGCTACCCCCACCCCCACCCCGCACACACTGAAAAGGGTCCTATTGAGTTGGGAATATCGGTGCCCCAGGGATGAGCTTTCCAGTTACAAGGAAGTCTTACATTCTAGTGCAAGGGGAAAAAAGTCCTGTGAGTGGGCCTAGATGGGGATTTATGATGCAAGCTGTTGGAAGCAAGCTCACAGAGCCTCTGGTGCGTGGGCCAAAATGACAAATGGGTTCTGTGCAACTTTTTATTGTCCAGCTTCACACTGTATTTCTTTGGAGTGCTGCTGTATTTGCTAGCATTTGATTGTATTAGTTACTGGTGAGATGGAGAAACCTTTCAGTCCCCCAAGATAAATATGGATCTACTTTCAATACATTTTATCTGTTAAACTTCAGCATCCAGGAAACAAGCCTAAAGCTTTTCTTTTTATTCTACCACAGGTTTTTAGGATAAAACATTTACAAAGGTGGTAGGTTCTGGGTAGATATCAAGTCCTATGAGGGGTGGGGGGTGCCTTTTATTCTGTGAAGTCCTGTTTGTTTGTCGTCTCCTCCCTGCTTTTCTCACCACGTTTGCCTTCCCTTTTGAGCAGGCTCCCACAGCCTGTCTGCCCAGGCACATAGAGGGCATTGGGTTTCTTATGCCAGATAGGATGGGATAGGATTGCCTGGGTGCAGTGTGCAAGTCCCTCTCTGGGCGATGCTGGTGGCCACATGCCCTGCAGCCCATCTGCAGAAGCCCTGGCGTTGATGCAACCCCATAGGTGTGAGGACCTTAGGAAGCGGCAGGCATGAACCTGTTCCAGAAGGCCTGGAGGGGGACCTTCCTGCAGGGGGAATGTGAGCCAGGGTCAGGGTTGCCAGAGTGGGGAGGGGCATAACACTAGACAGGAACTTAGTGACTGTCAGATGATCTTCTGGGAAACACTGTGTTTACCAGGAGAGGAGAACACAGTTTTGGGGCTCTGAAACGGGGAGGTCGAGCATGTGGGGAAGAGTGATGCTGACCCCCCCCAGGGCAGAGCAGGTGAAATAGACTACTCAGCCCTGACTGATGAAATGGCTGGAAAAAAAAGGTAGTGTTTCTTATCGTAAAGATAGTTTATTAGTAATACTAATTATGTATTGAATGGAATAATCAGCACAATGAAATTCAGTAAAAATCAAATAATTTGGGCAGTTATTTCAAGAGAGTGGGTCCAATAGGCTTGGTATGTGAGGCCTTTTATGGAAGTTCACTATGCAGCTAGGAGTCTTTGTCAGGCATTTGACTTACCAAGGGTCCTATTTTGTTGTTGTTTTTGCAAGGGTTGAAATTTTTGCCTTTCCTATATGAGATGTTTATTCCTGCTACTCAAAAGTATCTGGAAACTGCATTGCTTTAAGCTGTGGGATAAAGTTTTCCCTCACAGTTTTAATTTTTATTGTGTTCCCAGTGTGCTGTAGTGTTCACATGATAGACACAATAGTTCCTACCCCCACAGACCACATTCAAAATTACCTCGTCCTACATATCACACACCCAGGAACTGAACACACACATGGTCTTTTGGTCATTTTCATTGGCTCTCTAAACTATCTCTATTTGTCTTTCTGTCTCTGTCTCTCTTGTCTCTTTTTCTTATTGTTTTTTGCCTGACAGGTTAAGACTTCCTGGTACTCCCATGCTATTTCTGTAGAAAATGTTGGGCTTTATTGAGGAGAAATCAGTTGATAATAAACGGTAGTTAACTTGCTATAATTCCAGTTTACTTAGGATTGACAGAGTTAACAAATCTTCTGGTAAAATTCTCCTACAGATTAACATGTTTTCCAGTTTAACTAGAGGTGACTTCAGATATATAATTCTGCTCTGCCTGACTATGTATTTCCCTAACTCTCATCAGTTTAGCTTTTTTTTGTGGTTTACATGAGGGTGGGATGTAGTGTGTGCTTGATTCATCGAAATCTCTTTGCAAATTTTTTTTAAAAAACAAACTTCTGGACGTTCAAAAGTTTCTTCTGCCTCTTATGACGTGGAAGTGCCCCAGACAACAGATAAGAGGAAGAGTGAGGGGTGGAGTCATGGAGCTGAATGTTGCAAGGGGAGTGAGCCAGCTCTTTCTCAGCACTGATTGGAGACAGGAGCCAGAGGAGCCATCTGCCAGCCCTGCACTTTGACCCTACGGGGACCAGGAAGACCAGGTTCCCTCTTTTCTTTGCCCTCTACCTAGTGGATCCCTCCTCAGTCCTTGGGGAGGACTACAGGTAATCAGAGAGGATGCCAGTAGTTGCCAGGTGGGGGTCATCTAAAATAGAAAACTTACCCAAGATGTGCTATGAAATGATCCCTTACAGAATATTTACTGAGTATTTCCTAAAGGCTAAAATATACTATAGATGTCAAAAATATATGGGAAACCATTTATCTTGGGAAAGATTCTAGAACTTGTGTTGTAAGAGTGGGTGAAATATTGGAAAACATCCAAATTCTGATCTTTCTTCTTGTGCCTACTCCTAGGAACCTGAGGAGATACGTGCTGGCCTCTGGAACAAGGATTCTCCTCAGTCCCTTGCCTCCAGAGACCTCTGCAGGTGTGTGGAAGAAGTCTAGTCAGCCACAGGGCTCTAGTGCAGCATGGCATGGCTTTGTTGCCAGGCCTGTGGAGGTAGTGCAGTGAGGGCTTAGGTCCTTTGGAGAAACATTATGCTGGTGACAAGTAAGGTGGGAATCGCATGAAACTTAGGTGTGAGAGTGGATGAAATATTGGCTGTTTTGGTAATGTGGCTGATGACAAATCTAAAGCTCTGTCATGCATTACAGGCTTTCTGGTTATTTTAGTTAATTTAGTTATTTTGTTGATTTCTATGAGATATAAGACAAGGAAGAATTTTAGGAATTTTATAGAAGTGTACAGACTGATGAAAATGAAAAATATGGGTCAGGGATGTAGCTCAGTGGCACCACACCTGCCTGGCAAGCTCAGAGTCTTTAGTTTGATCCCCAGTACCTGGAAAAAAATGAAAAATACATTAGAAATAGAAGATAGAATTAGACATAGAATAAGGGCAGGAAAATTAAGCCAGTTCAGTATTCCAAATGCTTCATAGTACAGATTTATGTTGTAAAAGTCCTTAAAATAGGCCAGGGGTTAAGTTTCTTAGTAGTCAGAGGAATAATGACATCCAAATGAACTGCTATAAGCTACCACTTAGGTTCCAGTTTGTATTTTTTTATCTTTTTTTAACAAAACCATATTTACCTGGATATCAAGTTTGTACAATGAGATGGAATTCTTCTCTAGGGTGTTTGGGGATCAGAAAGGGCAGAGAACCTCTACATGGGATCATAGTAGATACAGAGACCCTTGAGCTTTACTTGCCCAGGTCTAGAGCCTCCTTCTCTAAGTGGTGTCTGGGCTTTGCCATCACGACTCTGGCACTTGGCCTGGCCCAGTTCTGCTGCATCTGAGCATCTGAGTCTAAGTTTGCATAGGCTCCTACCATTGGCCACCCCAGCGGGAATGGCCCTGTCTTGGGGGTGCCTCCTCCCCAAGGCTATCTGTTGATCCTCACTGGGCCTAAGACTTACTCTTGTCTTCCTAGGTTGTAGACTTAAGTCTGGCTAGCTCAGGGCCCAGTCCTGGATGTGTGGAGGGCTAAGAAAGGGCAGTGGATTGGATTTGCCAGAAGTCCGCAGATCCATTGTGCCCCAGATTTGAGGGGAGTAGAGAGCAACAGGCTTGATTTTGCTCCCATATACTTGTAGAATTCCACATTCATTCCTATATTCACCCCTAGATTCATTCACTTAAGCGTGTTTTGCTCAACCTTCACAGTTTCATTTTGAAGGGCTACCACAGTACTGTTGATACTGTGTTTTCTTTTTAGCAATTTATTTTTAACTTAAACATCTGCTTTAGCCTTGTCCTAAAGAATTCCAGTGCAAGTGAATGTTTGCTATCCTCATTTTATTCTGTTGTACTAATATGAGTATCTGAACTAAGTTTACCACCAGTGACACGCTCAGCAAGTGAAACCATACCATACCTGTGGCTTGAACTATGGGCTAGAAAAGTTTGTTCTCATATCTTTGAGCTTCACATTGCCATCAGCAGAAAAATGGCCTGTGTCTAACTCACAGGGCTCCTACAAGAGTTGGAGGAGAAGCTGAGAGTGCTTGGCATACAGGAGGTACACTAAATGCCGCAGAAAATGATTATTGCTGAGTTGTTACCAAATTGAGTCACAGCTTAGCAATGCAAAACAATTTTTGAATTGCAGTCTCTACCACTCAGTGCCTTGAATGTAAATGTATTAGATGATTTTTATAACAGGAGTTGGTGAGAATATGAAGAAATTAGAACCCTTGTGTATTGTGGTGAAAATGTAAAATGTTGCAGCAGCTGTGTATGAAGGTGTTTAACATGTTCCTGCCAGCTTGACCCAGCAGTGGTACACACATGACTGTTCTCTATCAGGTGGTTTATACCACCAATGGGACTGCCCTGTGTTGCCCAGTGGGACAGCCATGTATGTACCACCGGTGGTTCAGAGTCACCCAACAGCAAGTCATAACAAATTACAGCCCCATTATGAATGTGTTCATGCCATTGAATTTGTAAACTTACAAAATAGTTAACATGATAAATGTGTATATTGCCACAATAAAAATGAATATTTGGTGCTCAGGGATTTAGCTCAGGGGTGCTGGCCTGTCTCACAGTTGCAAGGTCCTGAGTTCAATCCCCAGTACCAAAAAAATTTTTAAAAGCATATGTTATCATTTTTAAACAAAAGGAATGTGTGGATGTTGTATCTGACCCAACTGATACCAGCATGGCACTGCCTGAATCTCCTGGTAAGGGCAGGTGGCTGGACCCGCGCCTTAGCACAGAGTGCTGTACCCTGGAGCACAGTGCTGGGTCTTTGAGTGTTGTGTGGTCACCAGCTTGGCTCCTCTTCATGCCCTTGGGACCACAGTTGGCAGTTGCCTGTACTATCCTGGCCTTGGTGTTCAGTGTAGAAACACAGTCAGAACTGAACTGTCTTGACTTTCTAAAGATATTGTAAGATAAGGGAAATGATTGCCCAGTGAGTTCTGTTAGGGCTAGTGTCTTTACCTCAATAAGTGAGTGTGTAAATGTTTTCTGCTTTCTGGACATTGCCTCTTGCCTTTGTTCCTTGGTGCAGTCGGTATGGCTAAGTCCTCTGGAAAGTCTTGTCAAAATGGAGAAAACCGCAGTAATTTAAAGAAGTAGTTAATTATCAATGTTTTTCATTCTTGACAGTCTGGCTTTTTCTTCAAATTCAAGGTACCCCGGAAATTAACATTACAGATCCATGAGGTTTTCATCTGTGAATATTGTTTGAAGAATTCATTCTTTTATTTAGATAAAATGTACCCAGTAAATTTTATAGTAACATTCTCAAAGTTTTACATTTTCGTTAGTGTTTCTAAATATACTATAGAGGCTTTCCTTGTGGTAGTGAGACTATATCAATATATGAAATAATTATATTACTCAATTATTTGAACAAAGATGGGATATAACTTACATATAATTTTGTAATAATTCCTATTTCCAAAGAAAACAGTTGCACAATACTTTTTTGTTGTGCAATTTGTAGATAAATAGGTTGCAGGTTGTTGTTTGTTTTTATTGAAACAGATTTCGTGAATAAATGTGAATTTTATGTGTATCTTCCCCATGCTTATAACAAGCATCTCAAATCAAATAACTTGAGACAAAATGATTTTTCTATATTAAACACTAAATTTTCATTTAAACCACTAGAATTCCTTGTAGTTTAACCTGATACTTTCATACTTTTTTGCTTGCCTTGAGTGCTGTGGTCTGACTGTTTCTGCCCCTCATTGATATGCTAAAGAGTAAACCTTAAGGTGATGGTATTAAGAGGTGGGGCCCTATCATCAGGAATGGGACTAGTGCCCTGATAAAAGAGACTCTAAAGTGGTAGTTCTCTCTATCACACCTAGAAGGAGAAGTTGCCAATTGTGAGAAAGTGGGCCTCCCCAGACCCCAAATTTGCCAGCACCTTGTTCTTAGGTTTCCAGCCTCTAGAATGATGAGAAAGAATTTGTTGTCAAGCCACCCATTCTGTGGTATTTTGTTAAGCAGTCTGAGTGGACTCACAGGAAGCACATCCCACCCAGACAGCTCTGTCCTTCGCTATTTACCAGTATTACAATGAGACTCACAGAAGCTGGGGGCACCACAGAATCTCCGGAGGCTAGTCAGTTATTGAGTGATCATCCAGCTCTGGCCTGCACCCAGCAGACTGGCATAGTATGAGAAGAATGGGTTTGGATCTATCCCTTCTCTGCTGCCCAGCTTCCTGCAGGGTTGGTGGGTTTGAGGAAGGGACAGTTAAGGAACAGAGGAATTAGGAGACTCAGGGAATTATCATGCAGTTGAGTACAAGCACCAAGTCCACATGCAGGTGCAGTGTGCCCTGTCATCTGTTATCCAGGGACATATGTGCAAGGCAAGTGCACGAGGTAGCAGCGGCCCTGGTGCACTGTGTTCTCTCAGAGTGCACAGTCTAATGGGAAGTGGACAGAATGGGTAAGGTGTGGAATTGCTGGATCCATTTGCACTGTTCCTTGGTGAAGGGATTTTAGAGGGCTTGCAGAACAGTGCTGTTCCCTCTAGGACAAGTGTGCAGTTCTCCTTAGATGGGTTACCATTTCATTACCTTATAGCCATGTATCAAGGCAAGTCCTTAAGCTGGCCCATTAAAAGAAAAATTGGTGTCCTTGTAGTGAAAGTCCCCTAGATAGACTATACCATGTCCATTAGTGGGTTTTGGATCTGGCTTGGTTTTTTTGGCTCCTTGAATGTGGCTGAGAGCTGTGAGATCTTCAGTAAGCCAGAGCTGAAGATCTTGACCTGTTGAACCATCTTCTAAGTGGTGTGACTGCGAAGAGTAAAAGCTCAGTGTGCATAGTAGCATGGGCCTATGCATTATAGTGCAGGCACACTTTGCAAGAATAGAGTTACCAGTGTTGAGGAGGCAACCTCTAAGTCAGAGGCATGCTCTTCTTCAAACACATTTGAATATCTTTGCTTCTCCTCAAGAAATCTATACAAGACAGACATTCATTGAAAGTTCTTTTTTATTTTTATTTTTTTGTATTTTACTTTAGTGAATTGATGATCATCGAGGAAACAGGATCTATCCCAATGTGGTCTTTGAACTGTAACTCTCAGTGTTAGAACTATAACTCTAACTTCTTGTTGGGTGGGGGCAGCCTTACTCTGTGTTGGTTCCTGGCTTAAATGTCCCAGGAAAAGCTTGAGATAGTTTTTACATTAGTTATTCAAATATTTTATTATCTACTCATTTCTTCTCAGCCCCTATTACTATTTTTATTGCTCCATTTGAAGTTCCGTCCAACTGCCTAGACTCTTTCTGCCTTTGATGTCCGTATGGTGGAATCCAACGTCAGCTCATGTCTGACATCCAACTTTGCTGTTGGAAGTGTGTTGACGGAGGAGTACATTTATAATTAAACTTATGAAATAGATGATTCTTTTTACAGACTGTGAATGTGCCTTGCTGAGCAGAGC